GTGGCTGAATATCAAGATATGGTGACGAAACTCAAGATCATCACCTTTCCTATCCTTTTCTAGACAGGGCTAGGCTAACTTGTCCAAACAACCGTGTCTTCAACTACAAGTACCCACACTCCATCTTGAGTCTTGAGTTTGGTTGGAATTTGTCAGAGTCACGAGCCCGCCCTTCCGTCCCAACGGCACTCACTCCACCCCACCACAGACTCCCACAGCGGCCAGTCCACAAGATGTTTGACACGGCTGCCGCACCTCTGCGGACAATGACCAGGCCATCATGGAGAGCACGGCGCGGCGGAAGGCCGTGGCCTTGGCAAACTTCAGGAGGCTCGTCTTGATGTCATCGTCCAGCGTGGGCGACTGAGGCGGTCCGGTTGGCCAACTGAGGTCTTGGAGTTCAAGAAAGTCAAATGTTCAAGATAAAGAGGAAGACGAGAAGGTAAGGGCTCCTTTAAAGGGGGCCGCGTTCAAGGAGCCTCACCTTCAAATGTCAGTTTTAATATTCTGACCCTCAACCAGCATCATTTGAGCATGTGTGATGACTTGGTGACTTGGTGATCGGTGAGCTCAGCTAGGTGCCTCAGCGTTGCCTCCGAGGCTTTTCACCCAGGGATGCTCAAGTGCGCCTGCCAAGTCGTCCAAGCTGTGGATCGTTTGGGCACGGGGACCGGATTTCGTTGTGGGTGTCGTTCGTCTCGGCACCGTTTAACTGCCGGGGCCACTGTGAATATAAGGTGTTTTTTTCGGTTCAAGGGCTGAACCGAATTGTTTCGTCTCACTTGGTGTGCAGGATTGCTTCCCCAGAACAGAATACGCTGAAGATGCATCTTGTATTTTGAGTCCGGGCAAGAAGAATCTCCTTGAAAACGCATCTCAACATCCATCAAGATCCATCTTGACCATCTTGCTCCCCTTCTGGCCAAGATTATTTGCACCAGGCAGTCTTGTCAGGAATTGGCAGGAGCAGGCAGGAGTATGTTGGGTCACCCGAAGCGAGGTTTTTGTGGTATATCACCCCTGACATCTTATCACCCTGACCTCTGAAGTAAGTTACAAAAATGAAGAAAAACAAACTAATTGTGACAAACTAGGATTCTCATGGAGCCTCGACATCTGCAGCATCCTACCTGTCCGCTTGCGGGCTTAAGGCTTAATCCGAAACCAGCGACGCGTCACAACGGGCCTTGAGCATCTAGTCGGTCGTTTGGATTCACCACAAGCAAGGCCTTGACAGGCGAGGCCAAACCAAGGGATGGCCCGACTGCCAACCAGTCCCAATCACCAGAGTCTATGGACAATTGGAACTAGGAAGATACAAAAAGATACAAAATCAGACAGACCCGGATTCCCAGTGAGCATACAAATGCCAGGCGCTGGGCGTGCCTTCACGAAGTCTTGCGCGTGGGTCGAAAGACGCTTGAACTTGGAGGACCAGTGAACTTTCCCTGCCCTGGCGGAAGTGAGCCGCAAAAAGCCTGATTAGACAGCTAGCCATCCAAACGTAAAGGCGACATATACATCTGTGGAGTCCATGACATAAGCTACAACTACGATCGGCGCCCGTCTGACAAAGGCGTCTGGCCTGATCTTGGCAAGCACCTCTTTGTCAGGCCCATGGAAAGGTGGGCTCCTCGTAGGCAAGGTCAGGCCGTGGATTATTGAAGGGCGCCTCCTTCCTATGGCACCTGGACAAACTGCATAAGCCAGTGGTATCACTCAACGCTAATTGCAATGATCATCAAACGGCCAGCACCAGTTCCAATTTACAATTACACACACATTTCTGACTATGCCTATGCACGGTAAGACTTTGAGATCATATGCTCTTGGTCTGGTGCCCATGGGATAGCACTGAAGGGATGCTCAAGAGCGACAAACAAACAGAAGTTCCTCGGATGTATCTTACACAGTTGTGACTGAAGAACATGACGAAGCTACCCTCATTGGCAGGAGCTCCAACTCCATCCCCCAAACCTACGAGATCCATCTGACCACATTGATTGGACCGTGTCATCCGTGCCATCCGTCGGATCACAACGTGTCCCTGTGAGGAGCATGTAGCTGATCACGCCCAAGGACCAAAGGTCCGCTTTCAGGGTATAGGAGTTCCCAAGGACCTCCACGAAAAAGAACGCTGACTCAATCTGCTGAGAGGAACTGAGTGCTGAGAGGAACTGAGTGCTGAGTTGCCTTTCCAGAGTCAATTCACCAGAGCTAGGACTAGACGTTGATGACATTACATTGAAAAAGAGAAAAACCCACACATTTAGAAACTTGAGTTCATCGGTCTCTGTTTCCACAATTTGTTCGGATGCACAGGGTTGATATGCCCAAACTGCCTCTGGCGCTACGTAATGAGTCGAGCCACAGGCCTTGCAAATCAAGCGCAAGCTCTTTGTGCCAGGCGGACATTTGAAGTTTCTGAGGTGATTTAGTTTTTTCAAGAGAAAGGTCATTCACGGGATTGTGCATGCACAGCACATGGTAGGAGCTCCCGCAAGGGATATGCAGGATGGCGACAAATGATATGTGAACTTGAAGCCATGGACAGCTGAACAATGATGATAATGATAAGTACTGCACTGTAATGAATGGCTGAGAAATCCTGTCCAGTCGGCTGTTCTTGAACTCTAGATCCACCACTTCATCTCATGGGCGTTCTAAAACAAACAAGTAATCATATTGCAAATCGCCAGTCTAATGTATATACAGTAGATTCCTTAAAAGGACACTGATACCTTTCACGATCTGGCCAAGCAAATCTTCACACGCGGTTCTTTGTTCGCTTCTTCCATTCCAAAGAAAACACACATCATGGTTCTATGCACATCGATCAATTTGGGATCCAGAAATCCCATGCTGAATCAAGTTATCTGCATCTGAATCAAAAACCGCTTATGACTCCTCTAAACCATGTGTGCAAAGTGCCCCGCCTGTGTCATGTTTCGGCTCCGATCCCAGAATTTGGCGAAACCAAAATCGATCAACTTCAAATGGTCGTTGTCCTGAATTTCACAAAATGCAGGCTCATTCGAACCTATCACATTTATTCAAATGACAGTTCACACATTGGTAGAGGCCCTGGCTCATTGTGGGAGGCACTGGCGGCGCTGGCTCCCAAAATCGTTGGGTATCACAGTCGATTATATAAAAAGTACAATTTTTGTATGATGCCACAAATCTTTACATGGTGATCCACTCGTCTGACGAGCAACCAATCCCTGCAATGTCAATTTCGATGTTTGTTCACGAATCATGAACCTGCTAGCTGTTTGACCTAAATGCATCTAATCTAATGCCAAGACATCTGTTTACCATGTTGTTGTGGCTTCTTTGAGAGGGACCTCATACAAAAAGGACAGACCAAATGGATGGTTGTCCGCCGTTCAACGTCCTGTCGCTCGTACAAAAAGTTCTCCAGCTTCAAGTCGCGGTGAGCGATCTGGTGCGAATGGAGATAGGCCACCTCAAAGGCCATCGCCCCCCCGACGGCCCGCTCGCGACTGAGCGTCCAGTCGAACGACGCGACGGAGATCAGTTCCGTTTTAGGGGTTTTGTGTTACCATGGTCTAGAGTTTAGGGGTTTGCATTTCAGTTTTCCCAATGATGTGGGAAAGCGCACTGCACACTCCTTTAACAAAACGGCAATAGCACGGCAGGAACGCGTGCAGCCTTTCTTGGGGAGAAACAAGCAATCATATACTTGTCAGCTGTCACGGTTCACTTCCAACACGCTCTCAACCCAGAAGCAAAGGCAACCTCTGAATCCAAACCCAACAAATTTCTGAAATGACCTGGTAATATTTCAAACGGTTGTGCTCACTAAATCCTTTCAAAGCTGGCTTCGTCATTTCGATAGCGTTCTTATTGTAGGCCGTCTAAAGAAAGTGACCGTGATGTCTACTGAGGATACAGGTCCAGTATAACTGGTGTCCAAGTAAATCACTGGCCGGATGCGATCCAATTGAAAAAGGAAGAACGGAAGGACAGGAAGAAAAGAAGGGAGACTGTAACGGTCGAACCTTGAAACTTGAAAGAACATAGAAAACACACACAATAACATTCACCAACTGGAGCTCAAATGACAGGTATTTCCAACAAAACGGTGAGTGAGGCAGCATTCCAAGGCTCCCACAGCCAACAGCATTTGCTTGGCCGTCTTTGCAGCCATCTCCTACAACAAGTGAAACATCTCTTGTCAATAACGAGTCCCAAATCATCGCTATAAGTCTTTCAGTCAAAAAGAGGTCCTCGATATCTAGCGGCTAGCACTGTCAATGATCTGTAGAGCCGTTTTCAGCCTCAAAGTATTGAATCTAGCGATCTCGATGAGCTCCTCTTTGTACACCCGGTGCTGGAACAATCGATCGTACAACTCACCACCCGCCATGTACTCCATGACCAAGTGGATCTCCTGTGGAGCCAGAACCGGTGCTGTATACACCTCCCACCCGGGAGGGAAAGGAGATTGGTTGAATATGGCTGAACATTGAATGACATCAGGCCCAAGACGTTTAGGGCGTTGTAACTGTGTGCAAACATGAGTGTAGGGCGTTGTAACTCATGTTCCGTTTCAAGCCATCCGTAGCTGGCCTCATGTTTGTTTCATACAAAACACTTGTACACAGTACAGTAAAACAACCACTATCCAAAATTCATTCAACGGAGCTAGAAAACTGCAACCCCATTCCCAGCAAGTAAGTATGATACTTCATTAATAGTCTCAGCTCCAAGCATCTGCACGCCGATCTCGACTCAATGACTAGGGCAGGATGACTCAATCAGGTCACAAGACACCTTCTGGATGGATCCTACTCTCGCTACTCTACTCCCAAACCTGGCCTGCTCATCCTCATAAACCATCATCAAGCGGGCCACATGGGGATGGTCAAGGGTCAAGTAGATCTCCACCTGCCGTGATCTAGTCTTGATAGCAAACTGCTAAGCTATATATGTTTTTTCCATGGCGATGGCCTCCAACCTAATAGCGATGGCCTCCAACCTAATAGCGATAAAACTGAATATATATATATATATACACTGTATATAGCTGCAAAATCTTTCAGATCAGCATTGACTTGAACAGTCAGGATGGCACAGCTTCACGGGCCTATTGATTCGTCCACTTTCATCATGCAGCACTACAGTCACTATGGCCCTATCTACTACTCACCAGGCTCTTGCAGTTCCCCTGCATCCCTCCCTTGCAACAATCTCTTGAGAGACTTTAATGGTTGCAATGATGGAAGGCGTGTACTATCAGGGGTGGAACTCCATGCCCAGGTCTAGAACATACCTTCCTTGCTACTCTCTGAGTTGCAGCTGCTCTGATAAAGTCCAGCAGTATCAGCAAACATGCGGGAGTAGCGTCTTATTGTTGTAACACCAAATGCAACAGGATGGCAGTGCTGAGTGCCCCAGCTACCAGTTCCCGCACCAAGCACTGCTGGGACATCAGGATCGATTTTCCAGGCCAAATCAACCACGCACAGTGTTCAGGAAAGAGCGGATGTCTTGTGGCCGCCTCTCAAAAAGCTCTTGCAATCTCTGCTGCACCCTTCTGACCTCCTCGTCCTCCTCTGGTTTCCAGGGCTCCCAGGCACTCACCTCCAGCAAATTGTCACTGCTTTCGGTATCAATCAGGCCACCTTTGCACGTGATGTACAACATCGATGACCTAAAAAATCGATCTCCCAGCTTCTCCGATTCATAGGATAAATCCTTTCTAAGTCCTTGACATGCATGGCCGTTTGGGAACTCTCTCTCATGAATAATCGAAGGATCTTTTTCTGTAAAGAACTCGTCAAACAGCCAGATGACACGGCCAGCGTGGCTTAGCTTCGGCTCATCATGCCACGTGCATTCTGTTGGGTCAACTTGTTCAAGAAGCGTTGAAACGACCTTTTTGGCCTTCTCGGGGTGCGCAGTCGTGTAGAAACCCAATGGGCACAAGCATTGATCTTGTTGTGCCAGCACATACCGTATTAACGGGGTTGCAAATGGTCGCACCTGAACCTCATCTGCTCCTGGCCGCCAATCGTACATCAGGGTGGTGTACTTCAGGTCCAAAAGAATGAGATACTTGCTTGGTGCTTGTTGGTCGTAGACTTCCGGTGATACCTCAGAACCATTTCGGCCGGTCTCTGCCAAAGTCTCTGTTCCAAAGTAACAGGGGTTGTTTCGAACCGATTCGGAGCCGAACTTTCGGAACCGAAACTTAGCACGTGTCAAGAACAGAAAGGTTCATGAACTGAATGTAAACAACCGTTAGTTTTCGAAACACAACCAACCAAACCGAAAAGAAAAACGAACCGTTCCGCCCTGTTCCGGGGCCAATCAGCACAGCGATCTGTAACGCTCTTCTCAGACGGTCCAGAGTCTTAGAGTTTCAGAAAAGCTCTTACATGACAGCCTTGAGTCCTTGAGTTCTATCGAAAGCCCCAGTATTGACATGGAACGAACAGTTTTGGTGAGTGAGCCGAACCATAATTTGTAAGCATATTGAAACATGGCTTTCCTTCAATTCCTTTTCGTTGCTTTTCTGTCCAATATGCTGCATGCTTTTTAGACAGAATGGAAAAAGCAGATTATTCACAAACAGCATCAAACAGCTTTCCTTTCCTGCCCTTTCCTTGCCTAGCTTTGCTTTTGTTTGCTATGAATCTATGAATGTCATGTCATGTCTTGTTTTGTCTTACCTTGCCTGTTTTATCTTTTCCTTTTCCTTTCTTTGCCTCACTGTGTAAGTGTAACTCTTATGCCGCGTGCCTCAAAGAACCGACACAAATCGTGAGCTGAACCGAAAATCCACGAAACAATTCCGCAACCGAGCCGAACCGAGTCGAAGATTTAATTAAACCTTCAAACCGATTCCAACCGAACAGAAACCTTGCTGAAGTAAGACGTGAGCGCTCCCAACTTTCGGAGGCACTTCGCCACTCGCTTCGGCGTTCCGCTTCGGCGTCGTCAAACTGACGGCTGCATCGCGCGCACCGTGCTTTGTCCAGACAAGAATTCCCCACACAAACACCTCCGCCGATGCACAGCCACATCGAGCCGAGCTTGATTGCACCACTCGCACTTTGCCATCCAAGCCTTAAGCCTTATCAAATGTTCCACAGTCTCGAGCAACTATCACCTGTTCGAGTGCAGCCCGGACCAGACCAAATGTCTCTGGGATCAGCCGATGAACGTGTTCGGCTGGTGCCGCTGCGTGCCGAATCAGGAATTGAACTTTCCCGGAACTATAACGACCTTTTTTGCAGCTAAATAGTAAGAAGGATTTGTTCTGCAAACAGCAGAATGTCCAACCAAAAAGGAATTCAGGAGTTCCTTTTTTGGGAGATTGCGCGGTTGGCCCACTAATTCCTTGCTTGCATCTGCACTAGAACTCATGGTCAAAACTACAATCAACACAGTACTATCCTTAGGCCTTAGGCCACCCCCAGCACTGTCGCGGTGTCGACAGCAGTGTTGACATAGGTTGACATGTGCTGACCACAAATGCCACATCAGATTTGCGTCAGCTTTATCAGGCCCATGCTTTGTCAGCTTAAGTCGGGCGATGTGTAAAGTGGTGGAAACTCCTAGGTCCTACGATTTCCGTCCTGCATCATGCCATCCAGTTTAAACACTGCGCAGTGCCTGTCCTGTGAAAAATCCAAAATGCATGAAGGATCTGTCCAAACCAATATGGGTCCTCCAAGTGGTAGTCAATCTGGATCTTTGGGTTTCATCCTGTAGGGGTTGGCTAAAGCATGCTACAGCAACACTATGGTGGCCTTGTCAGGCGAAATCCTAATCGATTTGGCAACTCCATCTGGCACACCCTGGCCCCTGGGTTTGAAGGGACATCTCACACTCGAGTGAGCAATAGATCACCATCAAATTCATTCCTAGGTCCTTTCCAATTTCTCCACTCAAAACGACTCAAGACTCACAGTATCACTTCACTGACCCCCTTTTCAAGAAGCAGCAGCATCTTGATACGTGAGCCCTGACGTGTAGGATCTAGTTGCGCTCCTCTTTTGCTTGGGGAGCTGCCTCGAACTTCTGCAGAGACGGTCTTCGTCCCACAGGGCCCAGGATCCCTGGCGCCTGGCCAGGCCTACGCGCAGAAAACAGGGGCTGAGAGAATTGGCCAAGGTCATTCAAGATGTTTCAAGATGTCTCGTCCTTTTCGCCCCTGTGCTTTCAGCGAGCCATCAAAGCGGGCACTCAACACTCCGGTCACTGGAAGACACACATACACACACATACACATATAGGCTCGAATCCCGGTACAAGGAAATTCTGTGTTTTGGCTGAGAGAAGCCTGCTTTGCCCCCTTTGAGCCAGCTATATAGCCATGTTGACACTTGATCGATCAAGAATCCTTCTCTTTTGATAGGAAGACCCTGAAGGGCTTCATTGAAATGGAGTGGTCCAGAAATTCGATCAGCAACTGATTAGCAGTAATTCAGTCTGGGATGCAGTCCATGTTAATGCTCACTATGATGTAAATTCCCAAGTGATACTTCGCAGGAACTCATTATATCACCGAGACTCTCCAACCCCCCTCATCATTATTTTTGGGAGAGATTGCAAACATACTATACCTGCACCCTCAATGCTTTTCCAGCTTTCACCTTGCAGAGTGCCGATGCGCTAAGAACGATTGAATCCTTCTGAATCACTCTACCAGTGCCACGTCTTTGGTTGCCTTGGACAAGTGGGCCATCGGCTGACCGATGCTGACGGCTGGACCAAGCTTCCCTGCCATGGACTTCCATGTCCAAAAAGTCGTTTAAGTGGTTCATGGGGAAAGGTCCTTTCGATATCCCGTAGAGGTTGCAATGCTGCTTCTGGGAGCTTTTCGCCGTGCCTCTATTTTGTCTTGGCCTACAAAGACACTAGGCTGTCAGCAGCATTGAACCAAAGCGAGTGCGTAGAATCACCTCTCACAATCCTGTCAAGGTGGCTTGTACCCCGATCTCGCAATCTTCAACACCCATCAAATTGAAGCTGCCGCCACCGGCAGTTTCACCAAAGGATTTGAAGCCCTGGTCTGCTATTGCAATGAATCTGCTGGATGAATTCCCATGGGGTTGGAGAATCAGTCCTCCAGTAGCAGGCCTTGAGAATTCCTTTTCTTTTATCCTGAGTCTATGTCTAAGGTATCTGTAAGGCCTGTCTACAAAGAAGCAAGATCTTGCGTGCCAAAAAGGGTTTGATCTTGGCACTCCGACCGATCTTGCCCGAATACCAACCAGCGAACCACATCGAACAACCCCCACCAGGCCTGGCGGGTCGTCTCGCGACACCGACATGAGTCATCGAACGCGGGTCGTCTCAGCTCCAAAAGAACGGTTTCTACCGAAGCACCAGGCCCTGCACCGCTGACAGTCTGTCAGTTCTGTGGTTGGCAGGCTTGGTTTTGTACCTTCAAGCACCTGATTCAGAAGAAATCACTGAGTATACCAATAAGGAGTTACCACTCCAATCAACTCCAGTGCCCCGTATTCAGACCGAACCTGCTTTCATGGCAGAAGCTTCCCACACGTTCGCAGGTCACTGCCGCTCAGTTGCTCGGTCCAGCTGGAGACAAGTCCTAATCCTAATCGCAGTTCCTGACAAGGGTGCTGGCGGTAAACTACAACCCCTATGGCCCTTTATTTGCTTTGCTCAAATAACTGAGCGAAATCAATCTTCTGCTATTGAGGCCAGGCCAAGTCTCTTGCCAAGCAACTGCATCAACGGGAACTCTTCCATCAGGTCTGTTGTTCGGGTGATGAACTCCTAGCCGCAGCCGCTGCTCTGAGCAACCTGGACCTGGTCTGAAACCCTGGCTGCTAGGCAGTCGGGCAGTCCTCCGGTTGCTTCGGGTGGTCAACATCCACAATAGCCGCCTGCTTTGAGAGAATTCCTAACAAAAGACTTGCCCGGCCGCATATATCAAGCAATATCAAGCATAGTATCTAGTTAGTCGCCTCACTAGTAGACCAAGTACCTAGCACCAACCATCTCCACAAAATATCGTTTTCCTGCGTCGAATCACATGGCGGCTCCACGACCTTTTGGCTTCCAGCTCCTGGCGGCTCTACGGAACCCGGAAAGCTGCAAGGAGCCCAATTTGGCGAAAACCGCGCAAAGCGGCACCTGGACACATGATGGACCTCTGCCAGCTGCCAAGTTTCTCGCCCAAAGGACCAAGCCCAGTATTTCAGGAACAGAAATAAATCGATCTGAGCGGTGAACTTGAATTCTGGGGCCACAGCGGCCACATCTTCAATTTCTTGTCTACATGCCTACGCCACTGTTGAACCCTATCATTTCTCCTCCTGGCGCTTTCTCTTTACCTGGCATGCGGCATGCAAGCCAATCTTCGTCACTCACCTTGTTATGGACACCACTGATCTGCGATACGCAAATATATAGTCTGACTGAGCCCTTCCCCCACAACCCTGCTTGAATGCATGCTTTGCTAGATTTATGACCTTGGCTGCTTGCTCCCTGTCCTAGGGTGGCCCGAAGCCTATGGTTGGACATGTGGTCTGACAACGCATTGTGATCATTTGGGTGTAAATCCTTATCATTTATCGCTGGAAGACATGTGCCAGGTTCTTTAGGACATGTGCCACGGGTCGATGGTGAATGCAGGAAGAGAGAGAGAGAGAAAGAACATGACGTCCTGAATCCGAACCAAGTCTGATGCACGTAAACTAATCAAGTGTTGCGCTGCGCAGCTTTCACACTACAGCTCCTGCTTTCGCAGGTAGGGCTTCTTTATGCTTCTTTCACTTATATATATATATACATTCAGAGCAGACCTTAGGAACGATAAACTCAACAGTCAGGCATTGCAGTAAATTGAAACACTAGGATGCAGGTTGAAGTGCACGAACGACAAATGATCGGATTCTTCCACATCCTTTGGGGCGGACGAACACGTCATTGGTCGTCGGCGCCTTTTCCAGCTTCTCCTCACGCAGCAAGGCCTTGGCCTTCAAGCGCTCGACCTGCTTGGTTGAAAGGATCGGATCTCCACAGCACACCAGGCACTGCCAGGCACCCAAAAAGCCTTGGCCTTGAAGTGCGATCAGTTCGACACAGAAGCGATTTGGTCCACTGCTTCTTTTAGGTCAATGCAACACCTTACATCACAATGACAAGGACGATATCACATGCATAAAGGGCCAGGGGATTGCCAGATTTGAGACTTGAGCTCCAAATGATAACAACTTTCTGTTGGCTAAACCTGCATCCTGCTCGAGGATTCAGGCACCTGGGCCGAGCGAAAGGCCTCCACCCGCTGAGGGACCTTCTCCTGGCCGGACAGCGAGCGAATTCCCCATGGTGGTTGGTCAAGAGGCGCGATATCCGGGATGACTTCACTCACATCCTAGAAATCCATCGAAAACATGACATGCCTGTTCTGAAGGGAAGAAGACATCCTCAGACGGTCTGGGTGTGCGAACTCAACATCTTTCAACCTTCGTGAGATGTCCGTCGGAACTTCGGGGCTGATTCATGCTGATTCTATCCGAAGTATGTCAGGTGTATTCTTTAGTATTCGGGAGTTGTAATGGGGATTTTCTGCGGTTTCAGGTTTCCCTTGTCCACCTTTTAGTTCTATATAGAGGGGACTGGGGCTTTCAAGACCCTCGGGCTATACAAATGTATACAATCAACATGGTGGGCCCGTCCACGGCCTTCATGGCCATCTGACGGGTCAAGGAGGCTTCCACTCTTTCAGACTCCTGACCCCGCGGAGAAGCGGTTGCGCGGCAGTGCGCCCGGTGGAGACGAGCGCTCGTTCCTATAACCACCGGGAGTGCACAAGAACCAAACAAGTGACTCTTCCTGTGCTTAGACTGTATTGCAATTGCTCAAACGGTTGAAACAAATGAGCACATTTAGGGATGTTTAGGGTGGTTCACACTGGTCCTGTGCAGTGTTTGCAGGAACAACTTCCTCAAACAACTGCAACAGTCTCTTGTATCTCAGCTCTTAAAGAGTTGCTCGGCCCCTCAGAACCAGCCAAAGAGCCAGAACTGCAGACCTAATGGACCAAAGAGCCACACCCTGTGGCCGTGGCTCGATGGCTCTTTGAAGCCACGGCCAGAGCCATCCGTTCTCTCATCCGTCGGCTTCGAACGGACCCGTTCCGCCCCCTCGGCTGGCTCTGCTCGCCTCTGCTCGCCGGAAACGTGCCGTGGTGATGCGGTCAAAGGTCTCTTTGTTCCAATGCTGGGCTCTGACCTGGTTCCAACGCGAGTTCTGCAGAGTTCGGTAAGAACTAGTAACATGTAACAAGCAACTGATTGAGCATGATCCAAAATGGAACACAACACCCTAGCCCTCTTAGTCCTAGATAGATTGTCCTAGCGGGTCCTGGCTACAAAGTGCTTGGTTCTTCTGGCAAAAAGGCTTGTGCTGCTAACTGTTGCTGTCTAGCTCTTGTGGACTTGAGAGGCTTGCCAAGGCATCTCGCTTCCAGCCAATCCTGGGAAAAAGAACAACCGCAAGACTGACACAACCATACATTACTTAGGCTACTGGTGGTTCCAAAAGATGCTGAAAAATAAACATAGACTGATTGACACAATCTGCTGGGAAGCTTGCACACATGGCAAGCTTCCGTAACGCTTCCATCATCGTCACACCAGAACCCCCTCTTCCCTGCTCGCAAAGTAGTCATGATCCAGTCATTTCAGCCGGGCCAGCCGTCCTGAACTTTTGAAGATTCATGTCCTTGGGAAGCAAACGTGCCAGCCATGGCAAATTGGCTCTCGAGCTCCAACAATTGGCTCTTTAGCTCCAACGTGGACACTGGACACAAGAGCTCTGGTTGGTCTGGTTTGGATAGACAGGATGATCCAACTTCCCTCAGAACTCCCATCGCTGTGCCGCCTTAGAATTGGCATCCTGATTTTGGGTCTCCCAGCCATCTTGTCCACTTCTCTTGGCGCCTTCAAGTAGCTGTTCTCTAAGGGCTCGAGAGGTGGTGGAGGTGCCTCACGCGCGCGATGAAGTCAGTCCGGACCAAATATTCAGCATCCAGAAACAGCAATTTCCTGGAGCAAATCTGGTATCATTGTTCTCAAGCATTTCATTGACCATTCTGAAGCTGGATTGAGGAACTTCCA